TGCCCAGTCAGTCCTTATTGCACATGTGCGACATCACGCGCATGCGCAACAATTGCTGATGGCCACAGCAGCGCATTGGAGAAGCAGAGCAAGCAAAGCCGGAGGTCGGTAATTTTCGTTCCAAAAAGAATCCAGACACCATGTGTTTTTTTCGGTGCAGCTGGAGTCCAGCCGCACCGAAATAAACACGCGGCATCTGGAGGTCTTTTGCAGCAAAAATTACCGACCTCCAGCTTTGCTCTGTTTCTCCCAACGCGCCACTGCTGCCACGTTCTAGGCACCGGCCAGGAAGGCTCACCCATTGACTGCTGCACCACTCCGCTTGGACTTGCTTGGGCAAGTCCCTCTGGTGCAGCGGGCTCAATGGGGTGGACCTGTGGAGCGGCGCCTAGAATGCGGTCGCAGCGGCACATTGGAGAAGCAGAGCAAAGCAAGAGGTCGGTAATTTTCACTGCAAAAAAACTCCAGTCACCGTGTGCTTTTTTTGGTGGGGCTGCAGTCCAGCTGCACCGAAAACATGTGGCAGCTGCAGGCATTTGTGACAAGGGCAACATGGGCTGGTGGGGAGCCCAGCGACAACAATGGCTCAGCCCTGGCTTGCCTTCCCTGGTAGCCAGCCACGAGAGGAAGGTAAAGTCATGGCCGTGGGATGACAAAACAGGTGGTTGTGGGGGAGGAAATGGGGAGATTAAGGGCTGGGGTCTCTGAAAGGGGAAATGGGTGATGAAGGATTAGCCCAGGCCTTTGACAGATTAGGCCACGCCTTCCTGGGCAGAAAATAGGTAGATAGAATAAGGAAGGGATAGAGAGAGAGGGAAAGAGAGAGGGAACGAGAGAGAGAGAGAAAAAGGAAAAGAGAGGGAAAGAGAAGGAATAGACAAGAAAGTAAAGAAAGAAAAAGGGAGAGAGTAAGAGAAAGGAAGAAAAGGGATAGACAAAGAAATGGGATGGAAGGGACAGAAAGAAAGAGAGAAAGAGGGAATGAGAGAGAGGGAGGGAGGAGAAGGTGAATGGAATATGGAGGGAGGGAGAAAGAGAGAAGGAAGAGAAGAAAGAAAAAAAGAAAAGGGAAAGAAAAGGACACAAAGGAAGAAAAAGGATAGACAAAGAGGGGGAATGGAAAGAAGGGACAGAAAGAAAAAGAAAGAAAGAAAAAGAAAGGGAAGGAGGGAGGGAGGAGAAAGTGAATGAGATATCTCGTCCAACCACCTGCTCCAGCAAGGTTAGAAGGGGGAGTGTGTGTGTGTGTGTGTGTGTGTGCGCGCGCATGGCTGTCAAAGCTCCAAAAACAGGTCAAGTAGTTCTGGGGAGGTCAGTCATAAATTAGAACACTTACTAAGCAACCGGCCATTAAGTGAGGACCACTTATATTTGGTTTGCCAGTCACATGGCCACCTGGCCACACCCACCAGTCATATGACCACCAAACCACGCCCATCTGGTCATGTGACCACCAAGCCATGCCCACCCAGCAAGCCACGCCCACCCAGTAACATGACCACCAAGTCACGCCCACAAATTAGGCCACACCCATAGAACCAGTTATTAAGAAATTTGAATCCCACTCCTGGGTGGGGGGCACTGAGGATGAGTTTGTAGCACCAAGGGGGCGGTGGAGTGAAAAAGTTTGGGAACCACTGATGTAGAAGTTAGTATCTCAGGCTCTCCAGAGGTGTTCTTGAGCTAGGGAGGCCTAAATTCAGCTTTGTAAATACAACAACAACAAAATGGTGTAAAATCCTGATTTCTTTCTCTTCCCTCTTGATGTTTTAACCAGCAACTTATTCAAGCTGTTGTGCTGCCCCTCAAAATCAGATTGGTCATTTCTTTTCTACCTTTCAAGAATAGTTACATTGCTCTTCTGCTGAACATTTAGGGATTAGGTTGTTGAGGTTCCTGGTTTGCAATGTGGATTTGTCCATTCTCTTTTGTGCATATTTCTAGCTTTCTGGCTATTAAGATCGATTTTAGTGACTGAAAAGAAGCTTCGATCAGTGGGAGATTGGGGGACGAAGGCGAACTAAATTGAATAGGTAATAAACACTAGAGCTGTTCAAGCTTTGAAAAAGACATGGCTGTTTTAATGATTCAATAAAAGGTATCCAGCACTTTGTGTAACACCACTTTCAAACTTGGGCTTGTAGATCCCAAAGCAAATGAACATCATCTTCCACAAGAGTCCAGAGTTTGGAGCCTTCACCCAAGAAGTCAGCATCTGCCCGCAACTCATAAATTCTATTTTATCTTTACTAATACCACACACAAGTAATGTCAGGTCCAACAGGTCTACCATCGCTACATTCCAAGCAAATTGAAAGAAATGCAGCATGAGTGGCCACCACAGAGTGGCTGGTATTTGGGATCCTGGCACCAGAGGTCTCCTTCCACTTGCCACAATGGTTTCTGCAACAGCCTCAACCTGTTTTGGAATCATCCTCAAAAAAGCAATCTGGTCAGGATCAAAATTCACTCCATTGCACTTTTCCTCTCCAAGAATGGTTGTTGCTAGACTTCTTCCTGAAGAACGTCATAGTAATCCTGGAGCTGAGCCTACATCCTTGTTCCAGACAGGCTGAGTTCGCTTGTCTTCCATTCAATGGCATCATCTTAATTCAAGATGCAACATCAACACATCAACTCAGAATAAAGAAACCAAGGAGACAGGAGGAAGGGCCCTTAGTTAGAGACCAATAAAGAATATTTGTAGTCCAGGGTTAAAAAGAGGGGTCCTTGGGGCTTGTTTTCTTGCAGACATTTCATTACCCTAATTAGGTAGGAAATATCATCAGTGCTAGTAAGGAGTTTGGTTTGCTGCCAGTTTATATTCTGGTGACTTGCTGATGGCATTGGTCTTACAGATTCTTCGTTTAGGCTGTTTACTGTTGGCAGCTTCTTTGGCAGTTTCTTGATTGGGATATTGTTTACTTGATTATTGGTCTGATGTTAACCTTGGAGTTAATCTATGCTCTTCTGGGTGCTGATTGCTGGTGGAGAGGTGTTTGGGTCTGTTTGCTCCATTTTTGGTTGGTTGATTGTCTCTTGCATAGTCTATAGATGTTGTTAATGCCTATGTGTCTACTGATAGTTGATTTGTCAGACTGCCAGCCTTCTAGAAATTCCATGAAATTTTTGGACTTGGCTTAGGGTAGGATGGTCACATTTCCCACAACTGAAACTATGGTTAACTCTGTCTATATTGTTGTGAAATTAATTGGGCTCCCAGAAAAAATGGACTGTGGCAAATGTTTCAGAAAAGACCCTCCTTCATTTCCTGGTCTATAAATAGCAATAGCACTTAGATTTATATGTGGCTTCATAGAGCTTTACAGCCCTCTCTAGGCAGTTTACAGAATCAGCAAATTGCTCCCACCAATCATTTTACCCACCTTGGAAGGATGGAAGGCTGAGTCAACCTTGAACCTGGTGGGATTTGAACTGCCAAATTGTAGGCAGCTGGCTGCAGAAGTAGCTTGCAGTACTATACTCTAACCACTGCGCCACGGAGGTGCAAGGGATATTAATGTAACCTTACATTAAAGATAGAGCTACAACTCCTGGATGAGTTACTTGTCTAGAGTCTATCTGGAAGAGCCTACAAAAATCCTCAGATATGTGATATATTACAGTCCTCTATTTGCTTAACACAGCTGATAAACAAGCAGTGTTAATTCCTTCCTGTCAGTTTTACAGAGTGCCGTGTCTTAAACCTGGCAAGATTTGTCCACTCACCCTTACTATTCTTTACCGGGAAACATACAAAGACAGCCTGCCCTGCCAGTGGCCCTCAGCCATACCACAAAACCAGAAGAAATGGAAACCAATTCTGCTCCAGGTTTTACCTTCAGCCTGGCCAAGTTTCGTTTCAGTTTCCCGAAGCTGTGGATTTCTAAGTTTTCTTTTCTTCTGACCAGGCTGAGTAGATTAATCGAGTTTGGTAAGTTTTTAGGAAACAGAAACTCAGTTGCTTTCCATTCCACCCTGCTAACAGAACTGCAATCATAAGGGAAGGAATTAATAAGGGAAGGGGTAGAGGGGTTGTTGCATTTCTGGCCTTGACTGTTCAACACAACAGATACACAAAAGACACAGAATAACAGAGCTGGAAGGATCATCTATTCCAACTCCCCCACCCAAGCAGGATACCCTAAACTAGGGGTCCCCAACCACCGGGCCCTGGACCGGTACCGGTCCGTGGAACATTTTCTACCAGGCCGCCGGTTTGCTGGGCGCCGCCATCTTGTTTTGATGAGAAAGTGCTTCCGGTGAGCTTTTCCGGTTGGAAAGTGGCGTTTGGGTCCTGAAGGAATCCTCGCGCCTTAGTTTCATCGAAGGGGGGGGCGACTTCGAACAAAACTAAGGCGCGAGGATTCTTTCAGCACCCAAGGCAAGGCGAGCTGAGCTACTGTCCCCAAGCCGTCCCGAAGCCCATCGACAAAGGTACAAAGGAGGAGTTGAAGGTGGTGGGGAGAAGCGGGGGACGGCTGGCTGGCTGGTCGCTCGGCTCGCCTTGCCATGCGTGCTGATGTCGGTACCGGGCCGTGGAACATTTTGTGATGCCGGTACCGGGCCGTGGCACAAAAAAGGTTGGGGGCCACTGCCCTAAACGAGAGGTCTCCAATCTTAGCAACTTTAAGACTTGTGGACTTCACCTCCCAGAATTCCTCAGTCAGCTTTGCTAGCTGGGGAATTCTGGGAGTTGAAGTCCGCCAGGCTTAAAGTTGCCAAGATTGGAGACCCCTGATTTAGATTGTACACCTCCCCTCCCCCAAAAATATCTTCAGCCATATTCCCAGATGTACAATGCAATGCACACGTACACCCGTGTATTTAACACAGACAAATGCAAGCAGCGTCCATTCCTTCCCGTCAGTTCTACGCAGTGTCTTGTGTTAAACTTGACCAGATTTATTGGCCAATCTTAACGTTATTTAACCCCAAACCAGGAAAAGCCAGCCTGCCCTGCCCTGCCCGTCACCCGCTTAACAGTGATTAACAACGGCGGAATGAGAAGAAATGGAAATCGATTCTGCTCCACACTTTACTTCCAGCAGGGCAGAATTGAAGTTTCGTTTCTCCTAAGCTCACTGGATCGCCTAAGTTTCGTTTTTCCCCTTTTCCCCTCCCAACTTCTTTCTGACTAGACGGCTGGCCGTGAGAAGCAGCCGATCCTCTCTCTCACTCTTTCTCTCTCTCTGTGAAATTTAAAGAAAACCCTGATCGCCATTTCTGGAAAAAAGGAAAAGGAGAACCATCGGGTTTCCCCCCCCTCCCACGCCTAATAATAAACCTGCAATCATGAGGTAAGGAGACGGGTAATAATAGAGGCACTTTTCTTCTTCTTCTTTGCTGAGGGTTGTATTTTGCATTTCTGCCTTTGATTGCTCCTGCCGATTTGGTCTTGTGGGCAGGCGGCGAATGATTCCTTAGCCCGAAAAAGCGCCCGGCGTCGAAATTGAGCTGGCATCGTGTGGAGGTTTTTGTTGGGTTTTGTTGGATTTTGTTGGGTTGTGTGCTTGGATTGCGGTTCCAAGAGAGCGTCCTTTCAATAAAAGATCAGGGCGGCTTCGCGGTTTTATGTCTGCGAGAACAGCCCTGAAGGGAAAGCTCCGATGGGAGAGAAGGATCTCGTCCATCCTGTTGGAGATTTTTCTAATAAGGTACAGAACGCAAAACACAGAGATTGTCGTTAGTTTTTCCCACTCCGAACTGTACAAAATTAAGCCCGTGTTTTGTTCTACCATCTTCCTAGTCCTATAAGTTCACAACTCTTCCCATTTTACTTCATCTACAAATTCCTTGTCTCTATGTTCTAGTAGTATTTACGCATTCCTAAAGTTTGTAGCACTGTTTTCTTACCGTAACTATTAGCTCTTTTAAGTCATTCCTTTTCTCTCAGGCTTCAGCTCCTGGAGCCAATCTCAGTCCATTTGCATGTGAAAATCCTTTTCACTCCTTTAAAGACTTGCAAGTGGGCTTTTCTGCTCCCCCATCACTCATACACACTCATCTATCAATTGCTATCTATCTATCTATCTATCTATCTATCTATCTATCTATCTATCTATCTATCTATCTATCTATCTATCTATCCATCCATCCATCCATCCATCCATCCATCCATCCATCCATCCATCCATCTTCTCTCTCTCATATATATATATGTGTGTGTGTGTGTGTGTATGTATGTATGTATGTATGTATGTATGTATGGTATTCAGCTTTGTTCGGGTATTTTCCCACGTCATTATAGTTGTGCTTTTAAAGTTGTAGCAACGTTTCGGCAGAATCTCATCTGCCATCATCAGGCTTCTGTATAGTGTTTGTCCATCATATGTGGAGTGGAATCCAGCCTAACTAAATTAAATACAGATGAAGCTGATAGAATAAGACACCAAATCACTAACATCCTATGCACAAGCAAACCACCCAAAAGCAACTTGCACAAAGAGGAACTAAAAGCCCTGCAAGCCCTAAGGAAAGACAGTAGCATAATCATACTTCCAGCAGATAAAGGCAATGCCACAGTATAATGGATAGAAAAGACTACGAAACAAAATTGACAGACCTACTCCAAGACTCCACATACAGACTCATAAACATGGACCTAACCACATATCTGGAAAAAATAACGAAGAACAAAATTATAACCAGCCACATGAGCAAAGAGATCCAACAGACGATCATTCCAAGAGAAAAATCTTCCAGATGCCCCAAACTATACGGCCTCCCAAAAATACCCAAAGAAGGCATTCCTCTCAGACCCATAGTCAGCTCCAGAGGAGCACCACTACAAAACCTAGCCAAATACCTAGCAAAGCAGCTACAACCCCATGCTGAAGCAGCAGCTTGACATGTACAAAACTCATACCACCTCTTGGAAATGATCAAAGATCTACACATGGAACAAGAAGATCTGCTTGTAAGTTTCAATGTGGTTTCACTATTCATTCAAGTCCCAATAAAAGAAACCCTACAAATCATCAAAAATAAATACCAACCACCCAAACACCTCATGGAACTAGCAGAGCACTGCTTAACCAACACATATTTCATATACAAAGGACAAAGATACAAGCAAATTGAAGGAGCCCCTATGGGATCACCACTGTCACCCATCATTGCAAACCTGTTCATGGAAGAATTTGAATCCAAAGTCCTAGCCAATGCCACTCACGAACCCAAACTATGGTTAAGATACATCGATGACACATTTGTTATTTGGCCCCATGGAAAAGAAAACCTAAATAATTTCCTAACACACTTAAACAGCACACATCCCAAAATCAAATTCACCATGGAAACGAAAACAACTACCATTCCTAGATGTACTAATCTATAAAAAAACAGATGGCACACACCATATACCAGAAGAAAACACACACCAACCGCTACCTCAATGCCCAATCCCACCACCACCCAGCACAGATAAACTCCATGGCCAAAACACTAATTGCCAGAACCAAACGCCTGGCAGACAAGACACACATAAAGACTGAACTATGCACCCTGACTAAAGTACTGACAGCCAACGGCTTCCACAAAAGCAAAATCACTGGCTTGATCCACAAAGACATAATGGAGACCTAGAAGATGAACAGACCTATGGAACAGCTGTCCTGCCCTACATAAGAGATACTACAGACAAAATCAGTAAGATACTACACAGGCATCACATCAAGACTGCCTTCAAAACAGGCAGAAAAATAGCAGCCATCCTAAGAAACCCCAAAGATAAAATTGATCTGGAAAAAACAAGGCATATATGGAGTCTCCTGTGCATCATGTCCTGCCACATACATTGGACAGACCAAGAGAAGAATAAGTACCCGCCTGGATGAACACAAAAATGCAGTAAAAAAGCTGGAACACACTTCCTCACTAGTCCAACACATGAAAGCCACAGGTCATAGCATGGACTTCAATGGCACTAAAACCCTAGCCATATAGAAAGCCCCAGCTACAGAATTATCAGAGAAGCCATAGAGATTGAAAAAAGACCTGAAAGCATGAATAGAAGAGATGTCTATATCTCTTTTTATGTCTGTCTATCTCTATTATATCTATCACAGTGGTCGGGGAACAGGGGTAAATTACCCCAAATGGGGTAAAACTGAAAATCCTGGGGGTAAGCGCGACCCGTTCTCATTACCCCCAGACATTTTATTTCCGACATTCTGTTCGCCTTCGGTGAATGCTGCTGGGATCGGGAATCAAGGACACAAATGAGAGAAGGGGAGGGAGGAAGCAACGGAAGCCTGTCCTGCTCTCTGGCTCAGCAGCTTCGGTTTCCTCCCGCCTCATTCCTCCTCAGTCGCTCTCAGCCCAGGAAGAAACTGCTTCAAAGAAGCCGGGTGTGTGTGTGTGTGTGTGTGAACGGGCGCTTCGGAGAAGCTGCGCTCCGAAACCACCAGAAACGAAGGCAGGCAGGCAGAACGGAGGATTGAACCGTGGGCAGCGGGGTGGGGGTGAACGGGCGCTTTGGGGAAGCTGCGCCGACAGGAAAAGCCACCCTGCCGGCTTCTTTGAAGCAGTTTCTTCCTGGGCTGGTGAGGAGTGAGAGAGCGACTGAGAGAGGAACGAGGCAGACACCTGAGGGATGGGGCTGAGGGAGGGAGGGAGACACCTGA